TTCCACCTGGCTATTTTGAGAAACTGCAGATGCAGAAGTAGCTGCAAAGAGTTCATCTATAACCTGGGCTTGATGGCACATGACTGTAATCCCAGCGACTCGTGAGGCTGAAGTAGGGTGATTGAAAGTTTGAGGCCAACCTGGGCAACTTAGCAAGACACTGTCTCAAAATAAAAGAAAGTGCTGTGGTTGTGGTTCAGTGGAGGGACTATAGTATTCCCAGTACTAAGTAAGTAAATAAATACAAATTACTTATAAAAGATATTCCATTTGTAAGAGTGTCTCACACTCTTCACCAGGAAGAAAAGGGAGACCAGGCTGGGGATGGAGCTCAGTGTTAGAGCACTTGCCTAGCACATGTGCAAGGCCCTGGGTTTGAATCACAGAATTATTTTTAAAAAATTACATCTGCATAAAAGTCTTACCTTAATGATGTTCTTCCTGGCCATCTTGTCTTGACTGGACAATTCCTTATTCACATCTTTGTTTCAAAGACTGATGGGATTTAACTATGATGTTTAAAAACTTGACTTTTTTTTTTTTTGAGATGTAGCCTAGCAATTTACTCATTTCTTGTTATTCCTTTGAATAAACTTCTGTTTGCTTTTCTCTTGATGATCTCTTTTGTTACGGGGAAGTCCAGTTTAGAGCTACGAAGGGTAGAGACAAAATCATTTTCCTCCCTTGCAACTGGCAAGAGCTCTTCAGAGAGGATGTTTTCTGTGATTGGAGGGCTTGACAGGTGATGGGAGAAGGCCTCCTGCCCCATGACAGGGAGCAGCTAGTCCAAAGCATCCAAGAGCCCATCAGTATAGAGAAAGAAGAGGAGCACTGAGAGGCTCTGCATCCCAACATGTTTAACATCTGGGCCATTGTGGCCCCAAACACACAATCCCTCCAAATCACCCACACATGGTGGGTGGTGAATAGTGAGCCTGGGATATTGAGTTTGAATTGGACACACCTGGGTGGAAGGCACAACGGGCTCTATATTACAAGAAATGGCTGTGTCTGGCACAAAGCAGAATGCGTTGTAAGCATATTTGAATAAATGAGTAATCTAAGAATGGTGCTAAATTGGAAAATCTGGGATAAAAGGATTTTTTTTTTTCTGGTGGTACGAGAGATTGAACCCAGAGCCTTGTGTATGTAGGCAAGCACTCTACCAACTGAACTATATCCCCAGCCCCAGGATAAAAGGATTTTCAAGTTCCAGATTATTCAGGTTAATGTGAGAAAAGACTTGACAATTTATACATGCAAATTGGACACAAGATGATCTTTCATTCAATTATTTATTGGGTGTCTGCTTTGGGATGTTGTTTGTGTTTAAGGCACTGGAAACAAATAACATTCTATCCTTGTGACACATATTCTAGTGACTTTTATTCATAGTTCATTAAAAAATCATTATCAGAAATCAGTTTAAAAATCTAGCAAGGCTAATTTAAGTGACTGATCAATAAGACTGAAGAAAACTTAGATGCAAATGTGATAGAATTATTAAAAACATTTTTATTATAAGTAACTTGAATCATTGCCCTCTATGATATATCAATGTCACAAAACTCAAGAATTCCTTTGATAAATCTAGTAGTCTATTGCCATCTTGTGTTCAAACTACTCAATTATGTAGCTTAGTCACAAAGGTTCTGTGTTAGTTTCCTATAGGGCAAAGGGAAGCTATTTATCCCTCTGAAGGTTCAAGTCTTTTAAGTCTTCTGAAACTAACTGGTTTATAGACAGGTTAATCAGGGGAAAAGCATACCAATTTACTTATGTGTACAGGGCAGCACAGGAAGGTGAGTACCCAGTAACTCAAAGAGATTCAGAAACTTATATACCTGTCTTCAAAGGGGAGTACAAAATAAGGGAGGTGGTATAGGCAGTGTATTGGGGTAGTAAATTATTTTTAGAGAAGATGAATAGATCTGGACAACAGACAATTGCCTGGAACAAATTTTGCTGGGCTCTAGGTGTGATGTTTGATTTGCAGTCTCTTTCTCTGATGAGTTTAATCTTGCTTGGCTAATGAAATTTCAGTAAGAGGATTGAAGCCAATTGTGTTCCTTCTTGGTAGATCCTGTCTTTAGGTAGATAAGGGAACTTCAGAGAAAAGCTTCTCCCTGCACTGTGGGAAAGGGAAACAAGGGAAGATCAGAGGGACCAGCTTCTTAGGCCTTCCAGTTTCCAATTTCCTTTAGTTCAAAGTGCTCAGCATGGCCGAATGCTATCTTTTGTGGTGGTGTTTCCTGAGCCTCAACACTGCTGTAGTAAGTTACCGAACTTGGTGGCTTAAAACAACACAAATTTATTATTTTATAATTCTGTGGTCTTAAAGTTTGAAATGGGTCTAAAATCAAGGTGTCAGCAGGACTTCATTCCTCTCCTTTAAAGGCCCCAGAGGAGAATGTTCCTTTGCCTTTTGCACCTGTGGACGTGCCTTCATCCTTTGGCTGGTGGCCCCTAATGTCCTAGAGCCAGCCATAGTTGTCTGTCTTCACATCATATATGGTCTTCACAAGTGACCCCATTGGGCCCATCTGGATAACCTAGGATACTCCTTATCTCGAAGTCAGTGGATTAGTTGCAATTCCCTCTTGCCATGTGACAGCTATTTGGAATCCAGGCCAACTGCACCTATGAGGGGAGGGATATTATTAATCTGTCTATCACAGAGTCTATTAATTTTTTTTAGGGGCAAGTATGCTACTTTTTTTCTTTATTACATAAAAAGGCATTAAATCAAACTTATTTGTAACTTGCAACTGATGTACAGAAAAAGAAACATCACTTTCGCCAAAGTCTAAAAAATTAACTAAGTGTTTAGAAATCCCCACGGTTTACTGATCTCAGCTAGAAAACCCACTGAATATAAAAATAATGCAAAGTGAATCTTAAAATCATTTTAACTTAACAAATGCAGGTGTAAACTCAAATATTGCTTGATAATATACAAAATATACAAGTAAAGGTCTTTTGTTTGTTTGGTTACTGGGCATTCCAAATCCAGTCAGAATTAAATTTACAAAAATTCAAAATTAGAAACTCCTGAAGGGGTTAAAAGAGGAGAGAAGGGGTAGGGAGGAGGCATGAGGTAATTAATGATTGTGAAATGTTATGATTATTATGATCCAAACTACAGGTATGAAGACACAAATTGATGTGAATATACTATGTATACAACCAGAAATATGAAAAGTTGTACTCTATATATGTAATAAGAATTATAATGCATTCTGCTGTCATATATAAATATAAAAAAAGAAAAATAAAATATTATAGGTAAAAAATTTCCCTTCTAGTCCTAGTTTATTAAGAAGTTTTTGTTTTTAAGTCATGAAAGGTATTGAATTTTGTCACAGGCATTTTTGCATTTATTGAGATCGTTATATGATTTTTCTTCTTTATTCCGTTAATGTAGTAAATAGCATCAGTTGATTTTAAATGTTAAGGCAAGCTTGCCTCTCTGGAATAAACCCTAATTATGATGTATTAGCCTTCCTTTTTATGTACTGCTGCTTTCAACTTGCTTACATTTTGTCAAGGATTTTTGCATCTTGAGACATGTTGGTCTCCAACTTTCTTTGCCGGCTATGTCTTTGTCAGGTTTGGGCAGGGTTATATTGGCTTCATAAAATGACTTGGAAACAGTTTCTATCTTCTAAAGGAGTATGTGTAAGATTAATATTATTACTTTCTTCAGTGTTTGGTAGAATTCCCAAGGGTAACCATCTGGGCTTGTAGTTTGCTTTGAGGGAAGGCTTTCCATTGTCAATTTAACTTTTAAAATTAATGCAGTTATTCTGACTTTCAATTTCTTTTGTGTCAATTTGGTAAATTGTGTTTTTCAAGGAACTCTTTCTTTTCATCTAACTTGACAAGTTCACTGGCATGAAGTTAACATGTATAAGGTCCATCTGTGGTGATGTCCTTCTCTTTTTTTTTTTTTTTTGGTACCAGAAATTGAACCAGGGGTGCTTAACCACTGAGCCACATATCCAGCCCTTTTTATTTTTTAATTTTTGAGACAGGGTCTCGCTAAGTTGCTGAGGCTGGTTTTAACTTTTGATCCTTCTGCCTCAGCCATTTGAGCTGCTAGGATTACAGGTGTGTGCCACTGCACCTTCCCCACCCCCTGCTTCACTTTTGATGTTGGTATTATGTACTTTCCCTTCATTGTTTTCCTGATCAGCCTGCAGAATTCCCAAAAATATTTTGTGGCAGTGCTCCTTTTCCCCACAAAGAGCAAAAAAAATGACATGTTGGTATAGCAAAGCTAGAACCCTCTTCTTTTTTCTTTCTCATTGTCCACACACCACACACACCCAAATAAGGCAGACAATCTAGGTGACCCTTCATTTCCTCCATGTTCCTCACAATGTGTTTTGGGTGACTACGATAAGAAAACTTGGGGAGATAAAAACAAAAACAACTATTTATAAGTGCTAATGACTATGATATATTTCAAGTGGAATTTTATGTTGAGTTTTTGTTGGTATATGGACATTAACACATATCACATATATACATATTAAACAGAAATTTTACTATTTTAACTTCTTAATTTTTTTTTTTTTTTGCAGAGCTGGGGTTTGAATCCAGGTCCTCAGTCATGCTAAGCAAGCACTCTACTACTGAACCACACCCTGAGCCCTTTGACCATTTTTAAGTGTACAGTTCAGTGGCATCAAATGCATTCACAATGTTGTGCTGCCATCATACCTACTTCCAAAATTTTTTGTCATCCCCAACAGAAACTCTGCACCCATGAAACAGTAACTCCCCATTACCCCTTTTCCCCAGGCCCTGGCAACCTCTACTTTCTGTAGAATAACTTGGACCATTTTAGGTACTTCATATAAGCGGAATCATACAATATTTTTGTTTTGCTTATTTTACTTAGTACGATGTTTTTTAATGTCTGGTTTGATCTGTTTTCATGAATTAATTTATTTGCTCAAGTGCACTCTATGTGACTGGGGCCCCAGACGGGCACCGCCGCCGCCGCTGCGATGGCCCAGCAGCAGATGACCAGCTCGCAGAAGGCCCTGATGCTCCAGCTGAAATCCCTACAGGAGGAACCGGTGGATGAGTCCGACCTCTACAACTGGGAGGTGGCCATCTTCGGACCCCCCAACACCCTCTACGAAGGCGGCTACTTCAAGGCACATATTAAATTTCCTATTGACTACCCATATTCACCACCTACCTTCAGATTCTTGACCAAAATGTGGCACCCCAACATTTATGAGAATGGAGATGTATGCCCTTGGATACTCCATCCTCCTGTAGATGACCCACAGAGTGGAGAACTGCCCTCTGAAAGGCGGAATCCTACTCAGAATGTGAGGACTATTCTGTTAAGTGGAATCTCACTGCTTAGTGAGCCCAACACCTTCTCCCCAGCCAATGTGGATGCTTCGGTTATGTTCAGGAAATGGAGGGACAGTAAAGGAAAAGACAAAGAATACGCTGAAATCATTAGGAAACAGGTTTCAGCCACTAAAGCCGAAGCAGAAAAGGATGGAGTGAAGGTCCCCACAACCCTGGCGGAATACTGCATCAAAACTAAAGTGCCTTCCAA